ACACACACACACACACACACACACACACACACACACACACACACACACACGATGAGGACCAATCGGGTGCAACATCAGACTGGAGTTAAAGCAGCCAGTCTAGTGTACAATACAGTCTCACCCACAATGAAAGAAAATAAAATAAAAAAACATCTTGAAAAGGTCGCTAAATGCGCCCCATGTGTGTTTTCAGCTACCCCTCCAGAAAAGTGTTGAAGTCAGAGACATTGTCTAGTCTCTCTCTATACTCTTTTCTTCAGAGCAGACAACGGAAATGAGGGGCTTGATGCTCAGTTTTCTTTTTCTCCCCCCACAATATCAAACAAGTATCAGAACTGAGCCAGGAGTCCTTGAAAATGTCATCAGTCACATTACATACTTGACTCTTTTTCACCAGACCCTGATTTCTGAGCATCGCTTCGTTTACTAATGAGCGGCGAGCTCTCGGGGGCGGCCTCCAGCCGGACCTCGCTCAGCTCTGCTCCGTTTCGTTTGGCATCTCTGTCCACAAAGAACTGCAAGATCCCCGCGCCGAAAGCGTCACCCTCCACATTGAGCACCGTGCAGGTACGATCGCTGAAGGAAGACAAAACAGATGGCCCGCCATTTTAATGTCAGGGTATTTACAGCCAGCTGTGTGCCCTACATTATTGTAAATCTAGGGCATCACGGTCAACATCGTCCAAAGTTTGTATACTCACACAAGCCAGTCAACAGCCAGGATAAGAGAGATGTCGCTGGTGGGGAGTCCTATTGCCTCCAGGATAATAGCTAAAGTCAGAACACCGCCTGCAGGAATTCCCGCTGCTCCAACGCTGGATGCTGTAGCTGTAACACTAAAGTACAAAAAGCATGGACAGTAGCAGTTAGACACAAATCTATTGTCATGATTATAAAAGCCACGGAAATCACCTGTATTATTAGGCAACTGTTTGATAAGTAAGCCAGTGGTACAATTGATTTAGTATTACATGTCACTGTCTAACTAAAGATGTGTTTTGGTGGCTTTGGGACTTACAGGATGGTAATGACTTGGATGAAGTTAAGGGAAACGTTGTTCAGCTGTGCAATGAAAACTGCGGCCACGCACTGAAAGAGAGCCGCACCGTCCATGTTGACCGTCGCTCCAATGGGCAGGATGAAGCGGCTGATGTGCTTGGATACGCCGTTCTTTTCCTCCACGCACTTCATCATGAGAGGCAGCGTGGCAGAGCTAAGAAGCAAGAAACGATGGCCGTGAGCATGCAGAAAGGATGTAGAGATACACTGTTGCTTTAGAAGACAGAAATCCAAGTCATTCAGTATTTAACAACCTGAGAGTCACGTTTATTACCTGGAGCTTGTTCCAAAGGCTGTGGCTAGAGCCGTGAATATCCCCCAGAGGAAGGTGTAAGGGTTCTTCCTTGTAATGATAAAGTAGATGCCTGGCAACACAAGTGCTCCATGGATAGCATGTCCAATGAGGCAGCAGGCTATATATTTTCCCAAACTGGCAAACAGGCTTGCAACATCTTCCATTTCCACAATCTTCCCAGCTACAAGGAACATGATACCGATTGGGGCATACCTGCAAGGGAAGAGACGAGACAGTGATGTAGTTTAAGTTTCTGATACAGAGCACACTTAAAGATAAAAAAACAACAACAATATTCCTCTCATATCTGTCCATTAAATACACAACTCCAGCCAGAAATGTAGCAAAACTTTTTTTAATATTTTGTCTTGGTGTACTGCATCCATAAAAATAACTAGCAAAGATATTGTTGAGTGCTCTAATGTTAGGAGAGACGGGGATCTTGTCGACACTGCGAATCAAGCCTTTAATAAAGCCATAATGTTATGCAACTGCACATGCGCAGTAGTTGCAGGATGCAGACGCTTCTATTCATTCAAATAGCAGGTTCAAAACAGCAGCGTGGTCCTCTTTAAAAAAAAAAACAAACACTTTGCTGTAGTTGAATATTTTGCTCTTCACACGTGAACATTTTCTGTTCTTTTATTCCTTCCCCAACCCAAAAAGCATCCAGGTGTCCTTACCACATGATCCAGGACACCAGCACCATGGTGGCCTCGTTGAAGGCGTTAAAGAACTTGATCAGGATCTCTCCTTCCTCTCCCAGCTTCCGCAAAGCCACCCCAAACACGATGGCAAACACTACGAGACCAAGAATATTCATGCCATCCTGGTCTGTTCCAAAAGGCACCTGAAAAGCACACACGTTAAAAACAAAAAACTGAGTAAGAAAACACATTTATTCAGCCCTCAGTTTAAGAATACAGTCAGGTAGTTTGAGTGTATTTATAGTTCATTTTCCAGCCAGTCACTCTGCTCACATTCTCCACCGTGATATTGGCGATTCCATTTGTGCCATTCTTTTTCATCAGCTTATAGGAGGTCGCATACTGTACAGGAGGCAAGAAATTGCTAGTTTAGTAGACTAATTAGCACATAATCAGCTTATCGTCATAGTTCTGTTACACAATTCAGTGGAATGACTATGTTAAAAAGAAAAAACCCACAACAACCCAAAAAATTCAAATCCAATACTTACAGACTGAAAAGCAGCAGACACGAGGTTGGAGGGAAAGATGTTTCTGTGGATAAAAAAAAATACAACACATTCAAATCCTTGTGCTCAGTGTGAAGTGGATTACTGGCTGTGATAGAGAGCAGAGAAATGACAGGTTTGGGAACTAAAGTGCAGAAAACAGGTTTGGTTGTTTGGGTTTGTTCTCAAAATACATTTTACTTATTTTTTTAAAAAGCACAGAATAGTAACACTGAGTAATGTCACATGTGCTGCTTGGAAATTTAATTTAAAAACTACAGGCTGACCTGCTTTGACTCATTACTGAGTTTCAGCTAACTATAGAGCAATACTGCTACTGATCCTATGACATTGAAAACACAAATGCCATCTCTTCAAATGATCAATGACAGCTCAAACAGAGAGGAGCCCGAGGCTCGCCATGTAAAAAACAGCTCAGAGAATTTAACTGTTAATCTCGGTTTTTCCCCCCCGTGTTGCTGTGACCTTATCCATCACCTGCTAACGAGTGCATGCATACACACTGGCTTCCACAGAGTAGGTACAGCTGTGTATTAAATTTCCCAAGAACACACGAAAAACCCAAAGTGCACCCGTTACCCCTGTGCTCAGCTGTCTGCAACAGATCTAGAGTACCGGTAATAAGGCATTAACTCCTCAACAGCTTTCCGGTCATTCAGTCCCTTCCACTGGCGCTGCAGTGCTTCAAGCTTAAGGATCATGTGACTGCATGACGTGGCAGAACTAGAAAACCGGCTGCGTCACAAACAGCCGTGAAAGGGGACTAAACGACTGCTAAGCTTTCACACCATTTGGATATTCAAATGGATTGGCATAGTCTGAGTGTAGTAAGATGACGAGAGGAAAGAGGCTTAAGTATTTAATGTTTCATCAGCACAAAAGTGATCAGCATAATAATCTGTGTGTAGAATCTAAAGAGAATCCAGACTTCAAGCATTGTTAGAATTCACATGCCATCACATCCTTGTATAGTATTAATGGGAGGCAGGACTCCTGACTATATGTACACGTACACTACATTTGCACAGAGATGGCAATCCCGAGTACAAGCGTGGCTCACTCGTACACTTCCACTTCCTTGTTCTCCGCTGTGGTTACTTATTCTTGGCACAGGTACAAACTGCAGCGCTAATTAAATTTAAAACAAACAAGAACACAATGTTTCGTTTTTTCCGCCTTATCCTAATCAAGTCTACATGTGGATGCCATGCTCATTCGAAACGGTTCACTCTGAGGTGAACTTGCGACTTGAATGTAAATAAACTTGATTTTATTGTTTAACTGGAATGTTGGTATGAAAACAATGGGCCATCACATGCCTATTAGGCGGGTGGGTCTCCTACGTCAAACGGACAATTGTTTGTGCTCAGATCTTCTGACGTCTTGACACCATCCTGTTACACCATCCCTCAGCTGCTTTGGGAAAATGGTACACGTTTAGTATCAAACCCAACAACAGAAACTTCGGGCGCCTAATAAGGTGGACAAACGGATGAAACACTTAAGCTGAAAAATAGATTATGGTTCTAAAGAATGGGAATGAATCCCAGCATCTCAAAGGCCTGTTGAGCTCCTGACAGCTAAGGACAGGATGACAAAGATAGCAAACTTAGTTATATGAAGATCTTCTAAGAAAAAACAAAAAAAACAAAAACATGTTCTAGCTTCGCGGAATGATAGCCATCACCCACAAGTTTTGTATGTCAAAAGGAAAAAAAAAATATGCAACTGATAAGATATGTCAACAAGGATGTGTAGGAGTGGTGTGTTGTCTTTTTTTCCCCTGCTCTATTTCGTATGAGTGTGCGTCTGCAAACAATGACCAGGCCATTATTGCGCTTTAATGAACAGCTCTTCAGTCAGTTCCACCCAGTAAGTTCCACGCTGCCTTTGTTGTCAAAGGTAACCAGGACACCGGCTGACCAGGCTCGCGCTAATGATAGGCACGGGTCGTCTATTGGGATAATGTGCGTGCATGTGGAACGGTGGCATGTGTCCAATACAAGACAAACATTACCCTTGTTTCATATTTATCATCTCTTGTCTTTACCTCCCACCCCACGTTATGTAACGTGCTAATTAACGTCAGGTAAAAATGTTAATCTCCATCAGGGCACAAGGACTGTTTTATGGATGTGTTGCCAAGGCTAAGTCACGATGCAAGGGGTGGGTGGCGAGTGGAATATTCTGGTTTTCATAGCGCACAAGTCCATGATTCACCGAGCGCCAGACTGAGCAAACCATGAACAGACCAGTCAAACTATCCAGGAATAATGATGCAACAGTTGCAAGCATTATTAAGACTGGATGTAAACAGACTCTTACAGGTGTGTTAATACTGTCTGTGTTCCATCTCGTCTACTTGAGGCAAACCAAATAAGCTTAACGTGATTCGTGGTTCAGATTACAGATCCAAACAGTAAACCCAAAGTCTTCTTGTTTGCACTCTAAACACGTTTTTAACCTCTGTGGTGGGAAACACTGACACTGTACTTTATTTCAGACTATGCTGTGTAGTTATGTCTTTAGAATTAAAAAAAATAATCCAAAAAAATAGAAAAACTAAGCTTCACTGAATTGCTGTTGACATGTAAGAAAACCCCTCACCCCCAATTAGTGTCAGACCAAAACACAGCAGGTACAGGGGAAGCGTGCACAGTGGACCAACACCAACAGGAACATGTAATAGTTATTTAGATGACGTGGAACATTTCCTTCTGACGCAGTTGTGTACAATGGTCATAGATGCTTCCGGGTGTCCCCTCACCCACACCATAGAGGTGACACATGCTTCATGAATGCCCAGTGAACATGACGTATTGATTTAAAAAATAAAAATAAAAATGTCGGGCGGGTGGGGGCGCATGGGCACCTACAGACGGAAGTCATTTTTACTTAACAAGTTCAACAAGTTTAAACGGCATTGCGCCATGTTCCGTGTTATGTGTTTCAAAGTATACTTTGACAAAAGTTGCGAACAGAAAACCGTAAGCGTAAAGCGAGTCAGACTAAAGATAAAACACGTGTAGCAGCAGTACAAGTGAGCCCCCAGCAGGAAGTGTTTGAACCACAGTTGCGATTAGGGATAAGTTTCACGCACGTCTTCTGATTCCACGTGAAAACGTCACACTGGACAAGACGTGGAATATTACCAAATAAGTCAGTGTATGGGTTTAGTGGTCCTGGAAAAAAACAAAACACTAACACAAAATAAAATCTTTTCATTTTTTTTATATAAAGCGCCCGAGAAGGGACAACAGGACTGTGCCGGTGAGTTAACCCTCAGCGAGGACACAGCTGATGCAACCGTTTGTAGGCATTACAGCACTGCATTGTCCGGCTGTAGTGGACAACTAAGAAGACATGTGCCCGATCTGGTTCTTACAAGTACTGCTACACGTACAACAGGTTACTCTGTGTAACTTGGCTACTATTATTAGATCTTTGGAGCGTCCTACGCGCGTCATTACATACAGGACTAATTACATGTGAAGGTTTAACGACTTTTTTGAGAGTATGTAGACTGACTGTGTGTGAGCAAGAGTTAGGGTTTCGCTTACCTTATCAAATCTAAGAAGGAGTCTATAATTTCTTTATGCGCAGGCACGTCTTCTTCCAAGTAGGCCGGCTTGTTGACGGACACAGACCCCGGCGATATGATGAAAGCCATCACGACCCCAATCGTGGACGCAATCAAGGTGGTGATCAGGAAAAAGAGCATAGCCAAGCCGCCGAGTTTGCCCAGGGCTTTGGGGTCGATGCTGGCCGCTCCGGACACCAGGCTGCAGACCACCAGAGGAATGATGATCATCTTCAGCAACCGGATGAGAATCTCACCTGGGAAGCCGATGTAAATCACCTGGGTTCTCGTTAGTGTTACATTACGCACACCAAGTCCAATAAAAACACCAACGATAACCCCGGCCACGGTGAGAATCACCAGCAGGTTGGCCTTGACGATCCTCAGCACGCGCTGAGACAACGTCTCCGGGGTGCTCTTCTTGGGGCTGTCCAGCCCGTTGGGCATGGGCTCGTCGAGGTGAGCCTCACCGTTGGATTCCTTCCTGCTCTCTATCATGTCTACCGTCGAGGCCATGACGCGCGTTTAATCTTCCCCTAAAACTTAACGAAGGAAAACGTGTCTGAAAACTAGCAGCAACGTGGCAGGAGACCTTTCTAAAATTAAGGCAACTGCATACAAATTTCCTCCTGCGATTAGTGAATGTTGCTTGAGGACCGCGTGGGTCTTATCTACCGGGAAGTATTCCACGCCCACCTTAGTAATCTGGGCGTGTCTAACCAAGCTGCAACATTCATTATAAAAAACAGCGTTTTTGGATGGAAACATATAAAAAAAAGTCGCTGATGCAACAGCAACGCCTTTTATGCTTGATGTCTTCCCTGAAACAAGAGGCGATCGTTGCGTCACGCATTGTTAAAAGCAAGACAGCATAAAAATTTCCCCTAACCACCTGAACTGAAAGTTACAGCTACGTGCAAAAGACGTTGAAAAGTCTTTGAAAAGTGTCCAACTTTTATCAAATAAATAAAAAAGGTCTAAATTAACTTTATAATGGGTTTCTTAATTAAAGGTGTGGTACACTCAAAATGATGCAGTGCTACAGGAATATTTGCCAGCTCTAATCTCTTCCTAGATTACTACCTTTCATCAGTTAAACAACTAGATCACATGAGTTGACGAGAGGTACAGGGTGTGGAGCCTGCTACTGCATTCATCAAGTCACACATCAACAAAGAAAATGTTCTTGCTTTTTTATATTGACGTAGATTTTGGCATGTTTTAACAGGGACATGTTCCATGACATTAATAAAAGAAAGAAAGAATAAAGAATATGGTAAGGGCCTCATGAATGAGCCTCTGGCTGGATGATTGGGAAAAAAACAAGTGTTTCTGTAAGGAGACGTTTTAGACCTTTTACCTTTTAAAAAAGGGAAAGTTGGTTAATTTAACATCAGTTACAGCACAGAGAAAGTCTGTAGATATTAACAGCACTTTCATATTATATAATGAGATGCTTTTATGATGTGTGGTGTTCACTAGATTGAAACAAGCAACATATATTGCATCATGCAGTGACATCACAACACTTCCATTGAGGGCTGAAAGTGGCAACCACATGTGACGATACAGTTTTAAGTCTCCAACTTTCAGTGAATACAACTATTTACATTTACTTTGTATTGGGGCTCTTAAATAAGGGTGTGGCACATTTAAAAATGATGCAGATCCACTGGAATATCTGTCAGCTTTAATCCCTTCCCAGATTACCTCTTTTCATTAGAACAGCAGTTGAACTGGGGCACATTAGCGGAGAGGTACAGGGTTCGTCTCTACAGCTGTGGAGGAAGCCACCAGGGTTCGTCTCTACAGCTGTGGAGGAAGCCACCAGGGTTCGTCTCTATAACTGTGGAGGAAGCCACTGGGGCTTTGATGTGCCCTCCCTCCTCTGCGGGTTTATTTGCTTTCTCCCCAAGTCACAAATCAACGAAGAAGAAACCTCTTAGATCATGAAAGGGTAACGCACGTGGAACGACAAGTGCAGTAATAACATTAATCTGACATCTGGCGTGTCTGGATGGCAAAGAATGGCCACTGAGGAGCAGTATGTTCTTTGCTAACTGTTTCTCACCCAGTTGTAGTGATGAGTGAATGACTGTGAAGCAACGGGCAGTGTGTTTTTCTTGGAAATGTGTTGACAGCAGTTAAGAATGAAAGTGAGTAATACAGTGTTGAGTAAGAAAGCAACTTTCAGATGAAAATAAAGGCTTAAAACATCCATGAAATGTTAGTATCCTGACTTCCAATCATTGGCTAGGTGTGCACAAAGATGTAATAAGAGACACACTCATTGTCTGGGCCACAGAGGCCTACAGTCCCATTGCTTATAATTTATGTGTCAGTGTTCAGGACATACTGAGGATAGCTTACAGTCAAACTACAATTCAAGTGCTTTTTTTAAAGACTCCCACTGGCTGAAATTTGTGGGAAAAACACCTTTAACACCAAATAATGCCCACAGGACCAGATCTCAGACTGGCAGGAAGCTGTGCTCTACAAGCCAAGTTTGTTATCTAAAGCTTAGGCTTTGTTCGCCCTGACTGTGTGAATGATTGAAGGAATCACCGTGATTCTGTGAAAAGTGCATTACCCTGTGAGAAAGGACAACTTCAATGGCTAAGCCAGCTAGCGCACAAGAGCTGAGAAGGCCCCATCTATAATAACACACAATGCACACGCTGTGAAGATGAGTTTCTGCTGTTATTTAATATATTAAAACTGAAGTGTCTGACTTCTAAATGCACATATTTCAGAGCAAAAACAACAGCAATGCTATGATAACACATGTATGGGTGAGAGTTATTAGTTCAACTTTAGTTAAATGTGAAGGTTGGAGTTTTTAACTGACTCACTACGCTCTGACCGCATAAAGAAAGTAGAGAAAGTCTTCAAAGAAGACCGAAATTTGGTGGGTGGATGTAGCATTTTGTCGTACATCTGTGTGTCAGTAAAGTTGTACTGTTCTTTGAACAGGTTCAATAACACCGATGTCCTTGGCTTGTTGTTATAAGTCTTATATAAGACTTTTATTAGGCAGCACTTAAGTTAGTAAATATTTGTTGGAGAGGGGTTTTTTTATGGATCTCGGTCAGCCTTGTGATAAGGATAAGGCTTCCTTTGGCATTTTAAAATTGCACTAAGTGTTTTTTTTTATATTCACTGAGCCCAAGAGTGTTTACTTTGCCCTTATATTGTTGTAGTTGTAACTGACTTAACTTGGAGATGAGGTTTTATTCATTTTTTAAAAGAAACTGGAAGAAATATGTTATGATATGTCCAGAAAACCTCAGCTGAATCTAAATGTCTTTAACACTGACACGTTAAACCAAGGCAGAGAACATGGCAAATTCAGCACCACCTCAGCTGTAAACATTAGCATTTATCATCACGTGGCATCTGGCCGGAGGTTTAGTTTTCTCTTTTTCTACAGTTTGATGCTTGATAATCAAGCATGAATAAGGACACGGCGCACAAACGGGGGCAATTCATGTGACCTATGAAATGGGGACGTGAACAACAAAACGTTGCTGTCTCAAGTATCGTGAGAAGAGCAAGTGAGAGACTGGGAGAAAAGAAATGAGAAAGGCTGAAAGGAAACTTGATACCCCTCCACCTGAATGTGCCAGTGCAGCAATGCCCTATCTTTTATCCTGGTCTGCTGCGGTCATCGAGCAGGATCAGGGTGAAGTATGAAAACACTTCCACTTATTCCACGCTGTTTTTCAAACAAGATAAATAAAAAAATACAAAATTAAGAGTAGTTGTCCACAAACTAAATACTCGACAAAGTGCTGACTCATGGTGCTGTACTGCGGTACTGAGTTATGATAAGGTGCAGAGTCATGATGAAAATATATTCCAGGATGTTTATCTAGAAGGAATGTTGGACAGAGGAAAAGTCTGGAAATAATATCTTTTTTTCCCCACTAAGACCCCTTGAGGGGAAATTTCATGACTGAATATTCAAAGAGGCTGAGGAATAATACTCATGCAAACTATGGTAAACTTGAAAAAACGAACCAAGAAGAGAGTGAGATGGGGAAAGCCATGCCATTAGGCCATTATGCTCGAACTCTGTTTGCTAGAACATAATGTTTATGAAGCAAACATTTACGCTTCTTGCTTTGTGATAAGTGAGGTGTGCTGTTCAATCATACACTGTGTGTGCTCAGCGATACAAAACACTCTTGAAATGGCACTTTGATCCTGACTCCTGAACAGTTCTACATTTAGTATTATGTGAGAAAAAAAAGTGAAGTGTGCATTTTATACGCAAATGTCAAAGAAAACTGAAGTTGTGGTTTTTAGTGAAACATTATTTCAACCGTCACCCTCAGGATTGTACACTTTCAACAGCGTGCATGTTCTACATTAGATTTTGGCTCAAAGCACTGCTTTCACAAAGCCCAGCCTCACAGTATTGCAAAGCAAACTTCATTACAAAAAAGCTCCTTATGCATGTGCCATGTGTAGATTCGCTGTCACTACTGTCCCTGCAGCCCAAAAGTGATGAGAGGGCCCCCTAAAGCCTATCTAATCTCTTAAAGCCTTCTGTGATCAGAAGGGGCCTCCCGAACTTATTTACAGATTTGCGCTGCGCAGTTAGACTCACATGCCGTGCCTAGAGCCATCCTCCATGTATGACAAATGAACTTCCATTTGAATGTGAAATACTTTCAATTATTCAACAAGAGTGTACTGCTTAACATTTAATCCTAAATGATATACTTGAAAAGCATTCGGGACAAAAGCCTTGCAGTAGATCGGTGAACGGTTCAGGGTGTATCCTACCTCTCTGCTTTGGATGGTTGGATAAGTTGAAGAAAATGAATGAATGGTTGAATGGATTCAGCATAAGAGAGGATTTATTTCGATATTGCCAAATCACAATGACAGTCATTAAAGTGCCTCGACTTTATACTGTAGGTAAAGACCATATTATATTTTGGAGAAAACCTCAGCAATCAAGCGACCCCTGTGAGCAAGCACTTCGCAACAGTGGGAAAGTGCTTGCTTTTACAGGAAGAAGCCTACGGCAGAACCAGGCTCAAGGGGGGCAGCCATCTGCTGTGAACGGTAGGGGGGTGAGGGGAAAGGAAAAAGAAAAGAAAAGGTAGCAGGACAATACATAGACAAAGGGACCCAGTTAGTCATTACGAATGAAAAGAGAACTCAAAGAGCTCATCAGCTCTTTAACATCAAATAAAGAACTCGTCTTTTTCTTTTTTAGCCTTTTGTGGTGTCACGCTCTAGACCGACAGTTAGTCTATGACATTTCCTGAGGGACAAAAATAATCTTTCATAAAAATATTATCTTGATGTAAGTTTGGAAATATTGTGCTGTTAAATAATTTAACATTTTAACATTAACTGGTTTATCAATAAAGAATTTTTGATTTAAAGGTGTTTGATTAAAATCTGCTGCTTTTCTACTTTCACCGTGATCGGGGTTCTGTGGACAGCTGGTCACTGCAGACATTTGTTGTCGCTGCTGCAAAATGAATGTGAGAACAGACCAACGAGAATTTCTGAGGAATTTTTATGATTTAAAAGTTCTTTGGTCCTCACAGATGCATTGATGAAAAGTTGCTTATCTTTGATGTTAAAGGGACAACAAATATTTCTAACAGTAGAAGTCCAATCACTTTCTTTTAACATTAGTAGTTTCAGAGATCAAGTTTGTCCTCAGTGAGTAAACTATGTCTGACTTTCTGTCACCTGTGAAAAAATACACTGCACCAGATTTTCCTTTTAACCTTTCTTTTTTTTTTACAAAGCTGAATGGCCAAGGTGCTCTTTCATCACATCTGCATTTCATTACATAGCCGTGCTTGTATTTTGTTGTTCCTCTATATAATTTAAAGCTACATTCTGAGTTAATTACCCACACAGTGTGTGCATCCACACATGGGCTGTACTAAGCCTAAACTAAGACTTGTTTTGAAGAATAAGCAGACTTTGAATTGCTGTTAGCAAGTGAGGTATTTTAGCTGAGTCTGACAGGTTTTGCTGAGTTAATTGATGATGTATTTTTAAAACTGTAGATTGTGGCAGCCAACAAGGAGATTTCAACACTGTGCTAGTGCAAGTTCTTGTTAACCATTGCTTACATTAATACCTTTGGACAACCTGTGCTTCTTCAAACTTGCGTGCTTTTTTATCGTCTGATAAGAATACAGTAGCACGCTTTCTGGCACTGTCTCTCTTCACAGATTGGTAATCTAATCTATCTGCATGCCCTGTCTCTCTCCCTGCGTCTGTCAGTTGGCTTTAGGTGCACTGAGTTACCTGAGGAAGGTCACAGCTGTTTTTTCACACCCACAGTCACAAACATTCCTTTTAGCCAATGTTCAAGAACAAATTATACTACATAGGTCATGTGCGTACATAGTATTCACCTGACAAATTTTTTGTCAGGTGAATAAGACACCTTATTCACCTGACAAAACAAACTTAAATGTGCCCATTTAAGTTTGTTTCACCATGAGTATTTAAATAAATGACCCACATTGAGCTGAGATCAATCAATATCGCACAGAGAACAGTGCAGCTGTTTTTGCCACCGCAGCAGTGCTCCTCTACTGCAGTGGTTCTCAAACTGTGGTACGCGCACCACTAGTAGTACTTGGGCTCTCTCTGGTGGTACACGGGAAATCTCCAATTTTTTTTAAGATTAAATAATATACTACTATACTATATACTATCATGGAAGCATGCAAAGATGACACGAGAGTTCCCGAGGCTCTTCTGGGAACCGGAGTCAACCAGAAAACGGCTCCCTGAGCGTGAGTCCTCTATGAAGAGCAGCCTTTCCTTATCGCCGCTACAGAGCACTGGCAGGCTCATATCCCTGGGCCTTAAAACTGCAAAGGTGGCACGGCACTGTCACACTGATGATAAAAACACAGCCCTTTTCCGTGGTGCCGCCGTGCCCTGATCCCAGCCACCATCGATGAGTCGAAGGCCCCCGGGAGAATCGGTGGAGGTGTGGGAGATGCCGTCGGTGAGTCGGAAACTGTCGCCTGGATGCCAGTACAGTTGTTATTATTATCACTCGTTACATCCTGTTTATGACAGTTAAAATAAATAACATTCAAATAAGAAATACTACTATACCACATAAGGGTGGTACTTCATGAGCTATATATTTTATGAGGTGGTACTCACTGTGAAAAGTTTGAGAACCACTCTCTACTGCAACAAAGACAGCTTGTAGTCTTTTCACTCTTTAATCATTCTGAGAACTCATTAGAGACAATTCTGATGTTTTCAAACAGGAAAAAAGAGAAATGAAGACACATTAAGACTATTTACACAATGCTTACCCTTACAGATGGCTGCACTGAAGGTCACCCCCAGGGATCAGACCTCACACATATCAGAATAAGGCACAGAAAACAGCAGATCAAGTCGAGCTCCCGTATCATTTTTCCTGTGCCGGACATCATGAGCAGGAAAGCTCTGAAGGAACATTCTTCTTATACATAAACAAGGCTAAGTCTGTAAATGAATAAGTCAAGTTAATTCATTTAGAGACACATAAGGTTATACAAAGTCTTTAGATCAGCCAGTTAGAATGTCCTGACTGGAGGTTGATGTCATAGAATATTTCTGACCTTGTACAGCTTATTAAAATGTAACCATTATAAGCAAATTTCTTTCTTATGTACATTTTAAAAAGATCAGGGCTTTAATAGGTCTGTTGTGTCTTATATTTTTAAAAAGAACAAGTATAAATAGATGATTTTCCTCTGCAGCACTCCATTTAGGGGACAGAGTCTCTCTAACCATTGGTCAGAATGTCACAGTGGGGTTCAAGTTAGAGAGCTGGATGAGATACGAGGTCCTAGAAGGGCAGCCAACCTGTAGACTAAAAACATAGGCAGAATCCAATCTTCCCACAGGACAGTTGCAGGGAACATCCAGGTCTGGGCAGTACAAACCAGACTGAACAAGTGAGAGGTCTGATTTGCTGAGATCAACACTCCCTTCTTGTAACGCCTCCCTTTCCCAGCTCCTTTGCACAGTCTTGCTTTAGAAGTCATATGATACTGTATGGCACAGCGTTCAGAATTTTCTCTTTCACCAGCCCACCCTCTCTCCGTGTCTCGTTTTCTACCTCCTACTCCATGCTTGTTCACTAGCTCTTTTGTGTAGATAATGACACGGGCCTAAAGAATAAACAGCTGTGTGACTGATCTGTTTTCTAATCCCGCTTTCTCCATCTTCTTTTCATTATTACACATATATCTGCTCTCTGCACTCGCTATGTGCAGCATACACTCTGGAAACCCAAGACCGCCTCCACTGACCATGTGGAGTATTTTAAGTGGAGTGTTTTTATATTAGTGTAATGGTAAAAATATGTTTATAATCTCACATAAGAATAAAGAATGGCAAATGCATTGTACTTCTAGAAGAAAATCTCACCACTACACATTTATTTGGGTTGTTATTTAGCATCATTGGTGAACTTTAATTTTAAATGTCTGCATATAGACTGCATATAGAAAGGCACTAAATCTCACACAGACCTAAAAAACTTGTTAACCTTGTCCCAAAATCAAAGGATTCAGCTATTCAGTTCTTATACACACACACACACACACACACACACACACACACACACACACACACACACACACACACACACACACACACACACACACACATA